CGGATGCTTTTCCTGGGTGGGAGAGAGAATGCCCAAGCCGCGTCGTGAAGGTGGCCGACTGGCCTGTCCCCTTCGACAAAGGGTTGCTTGCTGGACAGAAATGTGCAACTGAAGCTTTTCCTGGCGTGAAGTCAAATGGCATCACCTGATAATCTGTTGGCAGCTCGAACTGATATGAGAGGAAGCAGTTTGACAGGCAGCACCCCCAGGGACGGCCCCAGCTTATTTTACACCCTAGGCGAGGATCCCTTCTGGCGGCGGCGCCCCTGGTGCGTCCACCAATTTTCAAAAATAAATACATTTTAGGAAGAATGAAAAACGCAAATAATCAAGAAACTCCCAGAGTATGGGGCCAGGTTCAGTTTGGCGCCCCTAAGGGCCGTCCAGCTCTAGGCGACCGCCTAGTTCGCCTAGTGAGTGAGCCGGCCCTGGGCACCCCTGCGTGTCAATAACCGTCTGCTAATTCCTCCTGTTTTGCAAAATTCCCTTGCAAATCTTGTATCTACTGTATGGAGCTCAATGAGCCTTACTTGGTGAATTGAGGATTGCAGCCACAGAAACGAAGGTGGTTTGGTGGCCTGGCGTTCTGGACTTAGCACCTGGGACTTCCCAAAAGAGATTTCTTGGTCCTGGCACCAAAACCGTCTCCCTCTATGGGTCTTTTCCGCCAGCGGGTGAAGACTTTTTTTCGTTTTGTTTGGCATATCCGTAGTAATGGCTACTGGCCCTCCTCCCTGGTTCTGGTGTTGCTTATGTGTTTTTATTGAATTATTTTATCACTTTAAATGTTTTTAGTTGTTCAGATGTGTTAAGGTTTGCTGCCTTGGGGACTCCGGCCAGATGGAAAGGTGGCTTAAAATGTTTTACACAAATACATACAATTTGGAAATGTTATTCAGTTACTTCATTTATAGCCCACCTTTTCCCCCAACAGAGACCCAAAGCGGCTTACGTTATTTCGCCTCTCTTCCATTTTTATCCTCACAACAGCCCTATGAGGTAGGGTAGAGAGAATACAACAGTATCCCCTGCAGCCAGCTGAGAGAACAGTCAGTCTCTCTCAGGGCACCCTGATGCTGATCTGAAAAGTCACCTCTCTCCAGAAAAAGAATGTCAAAAGGAGATTCCAGCAAGAGACTGTTGAATCAGAGTTCTTCAGGGAGCTTGGATAATGCCATCTCCGTGGATGTAACAAGGACATGGAATTGCAGAAGTTAACTGGTTTAGCAAAACTAAGAAAATTGCATTCTCACAAATTACTGCTTTAGCAAACGGCCTCTGTCTTTATTTATTTATTTAGGCATTTTTACCCCGCCCTCCCCGCTAGCAGGCTCAGGGCGGCTTACAAGGCGCATGAGCCCATACATAAAACCAGATAAGACAATAAAGTCATGAATAATAATAACAGTACAATAATAATGTGCTTTCTGTAAACAAGATGGTCTTGAGTGGTTTTGATGGTATCCTCAAATCCTCCCCATTGGGGTGACACTGTCCAGTAGATAGTTCAAGCCAATCCCACATTGTCAGTGCCATGCAATTTATGTCGGAACTTCCAAGGGCGATTCCTAATCCCGATGGTATTGCCACCATTGGTGGTGGTGGCAGCGGCGGCCCCTATGCGAAAGCCTGGTGGAAGAGCTCCGTCTTGCAGGCCCTGCGGAACTGCATAAGGTCCCACAGGGCCCTAATCTCCTCCGGGAGCTCATTCCACCAGGTAGGGGCCGCCACAGAAGGATCTGGCCCTGGTCGCAGCAAGCTTTACCTCCCGGGGGCCTGGAATCACCAGGCGGTGTTGGGTCCCCAACCGAAGTGCTCTTGGGGGTATATGTGGGGAAAGGCGGTCCCTCAGATAAGTCGGACCCTGGCCATGTAGGGCTTTAAAGGTGAGTACCAGCACTTTGAAGTGGATTCGGTATGCTATTGGCAGCCAGTGCAGCGCTTTCAACCCAGGCCGGATGTGCTCCCACTTGGGGACACCCATTAACAGCCTGGCCGCCACATTCTGCACTAGCTGCAGCTTTCGGATCTGCGACAAAGGCAGCCCCATGTAGAGAGCGTTACAGTAGTCTAACCTTGAAGTGACCGTTGCATGGATCACTATAGCCAGTGTCCTTTTCTTCTTCAAGCTGGAATGTTACCAAAGTACATCTCACCCTGTCCGCCTTGGGGACCCCTCCATAAATCTATCTGATCCCCTTTTAAAGCTGTTTATTCCTGTGGCCCTCACTCAGGTCCTCACAGAGATCAAGAGAGGCCTGGGTCATTTCCATTTTTCAGCCCCCTCCCCCAGTAAATTAAAAAAAAATGAAGAAGTGCAAAAACAATGGTACAAAATGTTTAGTATTGTATTTTAGATATTGACATTTAATATAATAAGAAAAATAATATAGTAAGGCTTTGTAATAAATGTTCCCATTCTTATTTACCATGCACTTTAACATCAAAAGTATAAATTTGAGGCTCCCCAAGAATGTGGTTAAGACACTGAACTGCAGGCTAGAAGGTCAGTAGTTCAGCAGTTCGAGACCCAAGTGCCGCATGACGGAGTGGTTCCAGCTCCTGCCAACCTAGCAGTTCAAAAGTAAGACACTGCAAGTAGATAAATAGGTACCGCTTCGATGGGAAGGTAACAGCGTTCCGTGTGCCTTGGCGTTTACTCATGCCGGCCACATGCCGAAATATCTTCGGACAGCACTAGGTCTTTGGCTTGGAAACGGAGATGAGCACCGCAACCCTAGAGTCAGATTCGACTGGCTTTCGAGCAAGGGAAACCTTAAGATTATGAGACCTGGGCCAAATTGCCCTGCTGCCCCCCCCCCCGCACTCTCAAGGCCCTGCCCTCACCACATCCGCTGGCAGTGAATTCTACTCGCCTGTGTAGAGCAGTATTTCCTTTTGTCCATCCTGAACCTACTGCCCGTCGGTTTAACTGGATGCCCTCAAATTCTGGTATTTTGGGAGAGGGAGAAAAAGTTCGCTTTGTCAACTCTCTCCACTCCATGCCTAATTTTACAAACCTCTCTATTTTACACACACCCTCCCCCTTCGTCGCCTCTTTTCTCAACTGACAAGTCCCAGCCTCTTCAGCCTTTCCTCACGGGGAAGGGGCTCCAACCCCCTCAGCATCTTGCCTGCCCTCCTCTGTCCTGTTTCTAGCTCTGCGAGGTCCTTTTTAGGATACGGTGACCAGAACGGTACACAGTATCCCAAATGAGGCCACACCTGTCAGTCTCTAAGGTGCGAATGGGCTGGGATCTAGCTAGTTCTCTTAAGGTGTCCATTACTCCGCCAGGATGGATCCTGCAGGGAAGGGCTTCTGGCTCCGGAGGAGAAGCCGTAGTCTGTAGATGGAGAGGAGGAGCCGCGGCAACTTGGCCGGGAGTGCTGCCTGAACCAGCCTGCCCTGCTGCCGCCACCTTGCCTCACACCCTCTGCCAGTGTCCCCACCCAGGACCTGGAGAAGCCCATGTTCCTTCCCTCCTTGTCCCTGAGGCATCTTTAAAGGCCGTGCTGCCCGGGTGGCATGGGAAGGGAAGAAGCGGCAGCTACATGGGCTCCTAGCTGGGGGTTTTGTGGCAAGATGGCTGCTGTGGAGGCTGCCACCCCCCCCCAATCCATTGCCTGAGGCCTCCTGCCTCACTTTGCCTCATTGCAGAGGTCCTGGCAGCCATGACACCTGCTTTAAACAACACTCGAGCAGCCACTATGGCTGTTTGAGACCCACCGCGGTCAAGGTGAGCTCTCGACCCTAGCCCTAGCTCCCGCCCACCCAGCGGTTCGAAAGCTGATGTAATTAAAAATGCAAGTAGATAAATGGGTACCCACCCTTAGAAGGGTGGGGGGCACCCTCTTCTATGAGGTGTGTGGATGGCAACAGCGGCGGCGGAAATGGTGGAACACCAGCGGCTGAGGCGACGTGGCGGCGGCAGCAAGCAGCGACAGACCGGAGGAGTGATCCCTGGTGGCTAGCGGCGAGAAACAACGAGCGGCTGCCGTGCAGTAAGAGGCGCAGTGACGTGATCCTCGAAGCACGCCGGAGCCTGAGGGACGTAAGCCGGGCTGAGGGAGGGCGTCTACTCCGTGCCGGATTGAGCACCAGGGAAAAACAACAGCCGGTGAACCTCCGGGAACGAAGCCAGAAGCCGAAGAACATCAGCCTCCACCAGGGTGCTGGTAGGCTGCCTCAACCCCCTTCCAGAATGTGGCCGTAGTTAAGGATAAAATCGTGATTAGCACTCCTCAATGTGAACCGCCCAGAGACCCCTACGGGGGTTAGGGCGGTATACCAAGTCGAATAATAAAATAAAAATAAAATAAATGAGAACGCGATTTCTTTGAGAGAGAACGGCGTGAGGAAGAAAACTCCATTTTCTGGAGTGAGAAAGAAAGCTGTGGTCTTCGGCGATAACTCCAGTCGTTGGCTGGGACAAATTCTAAAAAGCCCTCGTAATCTGCAAAGGGTTTTTGTCGCTTTTTCACCCTGAGAGGCACCATGGTGTCATGCTTACAGTATTGGACTAGGACGTGGGAGACCCTGATCTGAATCTCCACTTTATTGCAGAAGCTTTCTGGTTTTAGCTTAATCTACCTTACACGGTTGTTGCGGAGATAAAACGGAGGAGAGGAGAACAAGGTGAGCTGCTCACTGGGGAGAAAGGTGGGCTAAGAGAAGTAAATAAATGA